CCCTTCTACTGTGGATGTGCCACTTGTAGGAACCATGTCCAATACCATATAATGTAGCTGTACTCGACAAATGGTTGACAAGGTCACTCACATTTGTCCAGTTGCATGTTCTTGTTTTGAAAAGAAAGCTACATAGAAAAAGAAAGCGGTGTTCATGCTTTAGAGGATTTCATCCTCTAGGGCATCTTTCAGCTTTGTTGGCAAGATAATTACTTTATCCTTCATAAACTCCAAAATTATTCAGAAAAAAAAAAAGATATTTATTTGATAGCTTATACAATTAGGTATCAGTTAACTCACCCAAAAGCCAATCCTTCTAATTAAGGCCATACAGTAGTACTCATGGCCCATGGGTGTAAATTTCCACTGGTGTTATAAGCTTTGTTTGCGATCTCTGAAAGAAAGAATCATTACATATCTGATTTTCATTAAGCTTAATTTCAGAGCATAAATTCATTATAAATTAAGGAAAACAAAATTGAATTCATGTTTACAAAATATTAGTTTCATGCATTAATATCCCACAATGAGAAAAATCAAAATTTTATTCCAGGCAGCTTCCTAAAACCCAGTTGATCTTTTTCTTTCTTATTATACTGAACATGATCCCAATTCAGTGAACTAACAACAACAATAACAATAGTAATAAATGATGGGTTTAGAAAATAAATAATCTTTTAAGACTGTGTTTGATTTACGGGAATAAGGGTTTAAAATCAGAATTGAATTTGATTGGGTAGAATTGGAATTTCATTCTCATTCATAGAATGACATTCTCCCCTTTGAGGGAATGGCCATTCCCTCCTGGCCTCTCTCTTCCAAATGAAATTCCATTCCTGTGGATTCTAATTTTCATTCTCATTTCTGTCTAAACCAAACAGACTATAAAAATAGATCATTCCGACATCGATTCCAATTCTAAAAGATTTTAATTCCGATTCCAATGCGAATCAAGCGGACCCTAAATTATTCTCCTTTATTCAACAGCTTCAGTATCTTTTCCATGCATGCATTCTCAAGCACGCATGCATGTTGGTTTCAATGATAATTTATTTAATCCACGCCGAGTGCTCAATTGCTCATATATGGTCTTTTCCTCAAGCTCAACGGGGTATTGCCATTTTTAAAGATAAAAAAAAAAGAACCGAATGAAAGAATTGCTTACAATGATGAACACTTTGACCTTATTCCCTCAGGGTCCCACTGCAGAAATAATTTATTAAAGTGAACATATAATCTATATAGATAGATGATTCCAGATATTTGAGGAACAGGGTATATATATATATATATATATATATGTGAAAAAAAAAGGTTAAATTAAACTTGGAGAGCTGGAGATGAGAAACTAAACCGGATAACACGAACTAGGTTTGGATGGTTGATCCCCTTATTCCATCCAAGCCCCCCTCTCCCGTACGGTCGTTGCTGAAACGGCAACCACTCATATAGAACTAGAAGGCACATTAATTAAAGTTCTTCCCTGCAGGGTCAGTGGATCCATTGCATTGCTTCGGCCTGTGCAGTGCACACATGGGCTGTTTGGTGCTGGCCTATTTTTGTTGACTTTTCTAAACAACAAGGACAGGTGAAGAAATCTCCATCACTTTCAGAAATTACATTAGATTGATATTAGAAGCTCAATAAAACCATCGTTGTGAGTTTTCATTTGTAATTGTTCAAACACTGCATTACATTGATTAAAATTATGCACAAATTAGAACTGAAACACTTGAGTTGAGACCTAAAAGCAATCCAAAGAAGCTCACTCCCCCATGTTAATTAAGTAGCTAGCCAGGCCAGCATGTGATTGTGATTGTGATGTGCGAGACCTGAGGCCTAATTCTAATTGCAGAATAAGATTGCACCACGTTGAATCCAAATGCACGCCGTGAATTAATACGGCAGTTTATAAGGTCTAGAAAATTGACCAATTAGGAGCCCTAGTCAGTAGGGCACTAAGCTAGCTAGCTAGCTTGGACCAAAGCTAAGATATGGAAACGCTATGACCATGGAATATTTAGTCCTAACTATATTGCCTGATTGAGAGGAAATATTAATAATCAAACAACTACAACTACAGTAACAGATGAAGTGATCCACTTGTCAATTCCATCTCTCATTTTATTTAATTACACATGCATCTCTAAAAGCTCTCTATTTGATATTTAGAGGATAAGAATTGGGTTAGGTTGTATTAGAAGAGATATATAAATAAAATTAAGCAAACCAAATGAAACAGCACACGTGATCTCCACTGATGATGAAAATTAAGTTAATACAATCTTCTCTCATAAGTCGTACCAATATGTCATCTAATAAAAATGCAACCCTTTGTTCCAAAAGAATTAATTAATAACACAGTAAAAACCAAAAAAAAAACAAAAAAACACCAAATTTTGTCAATCGAATGCAAGCGCATTTTTATGTAAGGGTGGATAATATTCAAAAAGATAAAAAGAGAGGTCCATTAGATATGACTTACGAGCAACTCACTAATTAATTAAACAAATTAAATAGAGCTTTGGCATTTATGAAGAAACAAGCAGCTAGGTTGTCTTAATATATGGCAGTGACTGTATAATGTCTGTAAGGCAAGGGATGCATCGGTTTGCGTCCTTTTAATTGTTTTCTCTTCTCTCATTATATATATGCATGGGTGGTGTGGTGTGGGGACTAAGCCTAAGAGGAGATAGATGAGAGCCACCACCATATGTTTATGCGGTTGAGAGGGAAAAGATGCATCATATATATATATATATATATATATATATATATATAGCTAGGTGGTCGTGTCACATTATTTGTCATAGAGGGAGTTGCTAGAACATCACTCTCTGGGTTTGGGATGCACCCATCAACGCTGTTTACGTTGTGAACATTTTACAGGTAGGTATCGGTGATTGGTGGATGTGGGTCACCTTCTCTCCCCTCTACCCGGACAACTTCTTTCATTGTCCTTTTATTTTCCTCATTCCATCGAAGGCGCAGAGAGAGAGGCTTTTGTGTAAGCTGTGTCGGTGACATGTGGATAATAGAAAAAAAAATGGATAATAATAATAATATACAGAAGCAGTAGTGGAAGATAAAAAATAAAAGAAAATATATCTGATTGCGTGGTCGCAACAATATGTTTACAGAGATGCAAATCAAGCGGCAGATTGAATTGTTAGGGAAGCATTTTCGGCTGATAATGAATGTATTTCATTTAATTTGCTTCTGTGATTCCTGGGGTCGTGCTACTCCCTCTTATCTTGTGTAGCGTTTTATATATATATATATATAATTGAATACCGAGTTTGGATAAGATGTGGTACTGGTAGCATATCGATCAAAAGCAAAGCTATGGAGCTGCTTTGTTGTAATAGCTAGCGATCCCACCACACCACCACGTATTTATGTTATAAGGCTGGGGAGTGGGTCCAGGGTCCTTACCCCTTGCAGCAGCTCAGCTCTACGAAGATACCGAAGACGACGGTTGGGGGTTGGATGAAAAAGAGAAGAGATGAGTGTAGCAGCAGCTGAGACTGAGAGAAAGTTAGCAAGGTAGCAATCGCTCCTTGTCTGAATGAAAGAAAACCTGCACTCTGCACAGACAGTGTGTCCTTTCCGGGCCCAGCCCAGCGACCCCTCGCTTTAGTTGGATTTGGGCAAGTCTCCAATTGCCACTAATCAACGGCGGAGTTCACTTTGAAGCCTCCTATAGGTCATAAAGAGTGGGCCCATCAGAGGGAACAAAGCCCACATGGGGAGAACGTGGCTTATGCCAGGAGATGGGAATCTCCCAATCTTGGTACGCCTCTCCTCCGCTTTCACCTTTTCTTTTTGCCAGTTTGAATTTAGAGAGTGCAGCTACATGTTACCAGGGGAAAAAGCTGGCAGCTGCTCGTTACATGTCAGCAGGGGCCAGGAAGGATATGGATATATATCGCTTGCTTTTCTTTCTTTTTCTTTGGGGTGTAAATTTCCGCCGGGGTTTGCGGTTTGTAAAGACTAAAGACTCTTTGAGTCTTGGGGTCTTAATACAAAAAAGCCCAAGGCATGTATGTGCACTTTTGCTCTCATTTTCATGCAATTGGAATTGGACTTTAAATCAAGAATACATATTAATTTTTTTCCACCACCAAACTCTACATTGGATGATTGGATGGAGGCCAAATTTAAACACACGAGTAATTGAATAGTTTTAACGGCCTTGTATTAAGTATTTAACTACAGCCTAGAGGCAATATTTATTACATCGATCAAATGTTTGTATGAATTGGTTAAGCTTCATAAAGCCAAAGAGGCGAGATAAAGGAAAAGAAATTAAAACGATCGAACAGGTAATGGGCAGGCAACACCGGCAGCAATATCGCCCACTCCAATTATTCTTTCTTAGTTGCCTATGACCTATTTTATTTCATTATTTATATAATATAGTCAAATTGTTAAAAATAGATCAGTTGACCCGGGCTATTTAACTCTTGAAATGGGTTCAAGTTTCAAAATCTGTAATTGGGTGTCGGTGGTTGTAAGATGTGGTAACTGGTTCGAAGCAAGCCAGAAGAGAGAAATGTAGGTAGGTACCGACCGTAGTTTTTGAAAAATGACTATGAGTGGGACTCGGCCCAAGTACAGACAACTACAAGAGATAATGAAAATCAACTCTTTCTTTTGTTTTAGAAATTCGAAAAAAAAAAAGAGTCAAAATAGTAATAATGCTTGTTTGTTGTACTTGTCACAGTCACACACATTCACCATTATTCTTCTCACTTACCCTGTTGCTGTGTAATAAACTAATAATAGAAGAGAAGAATCAAAATTTTCTTTTTACCTGGATAAAAAGTCATGAGGGAAGTTGGGCTTGCTTAACGGTCCAAACTACCGAATGGGATCCCGTAAAACCAGCAATCAAGAGGGGAGTATACGTAGGTCCCATAGCTATAGTCCAATCACGCCCGTTTGCTCGGCTTTTTGCCCTATATAAGAGATCCCCTTCCCCATCTTTCTCACCTCTCAACCCTCTCCCTCTCCCAAGTCCCACCCTAATCTATTTCTCTGTAGGGCGTAGACTGTAGTTCCCCGATCCCCTTCCACCCCCCGCCGTTCCCTCCAAAGTCTAAATCCGAAGAGAGGGTACTGGAACAAGAAAATGGCGAGTCCATTACTCCCACTTCTGGTCCTCTTTGCAGCAGCATTACTTGTAGCTCCAACCCTCATTAACTCCTCAGCAGTTCAAGACCCCGAATTGGTGGTGAAAGAGGTTGAGAGGTAAGCAAGCTATGTACATTCAGTTCTCGACTTCTCTGGCTTCAAAGTTCAAATTAAAGTTGATGATGACAAAGCTATGACTATTATATACATATATACTCTCGTTAGTATGGTATTATATAAAGCTCTGGTAGAGTTGACAATTAAAAGTGTAGGAATATATGGAGTCGACCGACGAGGCTGAAGCTAATAATATATATATATATATATAATATGTGTGTGTATTAATTCCATCCATGTAAATATATGTATATGGCAGGAGCATCAACACCACTAGAAGAAATTTGGGCTTCCTCTCTTGCGGAACAGGAAACCCCATCGACGATTGCTGGCGGTGCGACCCCAATTGGGAGAAGAATCGTCAAAGGCTAGCCGATTGTGCAATTGGGTTCGGGAAGCAGGCCATTGGTGGAAGGGATGGCCGCATCTATGTCGTCACTGACTCCGGCGACGACGACCCCGTGAACCCAAAGCCGGGGACCCTCCGGTACGCCGTGATCCAAGATGAGCCATTGTGGATCATCTTCGCACGCGACATGGTGATTCAGCTCAAGGAAGAGCTACTAATGAACTCGTTCAAGACCATCGACGGCAGGGGTGCCAGCGTTCACATTGCCGGTGGGCCATGCATTACCATACAGTACGTGAACAACATTATCATACACGGCCTCAACATCCATGACTGCAAGCAGGGCGGGAATGCCAATGTGAGAGACTCCCCGGAGCACTATGGGTGGAGGACCATCTCCGATGGTGATGGAATCTCCATATTTGGGGGTAGCCATGTGTGGGTGGATCACTGCTCTCTCTCCAACTGCCATGATGGACTCATCGATGCCATCCACGGATCAACTGCTATCACCATTTCTAACAATTACATGACCCACCATGACAAAGTGATGCTCTTGGGCCACAGTGACACCTACACCCAAGACAAGAACATGCAAGTCACTATTGCCTTCAACCACTTTGGAGAAGGGCTGGTGCAAAGGATGCCAAGGTATTTTTCTTTCCTTTTTAATTGATGAATTCAACAATCAATTAATAGACAATAGCTAGAGCTAGCTAGCTACCTACCTGTTGCCTGTTGGAGGGATGGATTATTGATGTCTTTTGGTGGCATTAATTAAATTGCAGGTGTAGACATGGATACTTCCATGTGGTGAACAATGACTACACCCACTGGGAGATGTACGCCATTGGAGGGAGTGCTTCACCGACCATCAACAGCCAAGGGAATAGATTTGTGGCACCGGATGATAGATTCAGCAAAGAAGTGACCAAACATGAGGATGCACCAGAGAGTGAATGGAAGAACTGGAATTGGAGGTCTGAAGGAGACCTAATGATGAATGGTGCCTTCTTCACGCCATCTGGTGCGGGAGCGTCGTCGAGCTATGCTAAGGCTTCCAGTTTGGGTGCCAGACCATCTTCTCTGGTGGGTTCCATTACGATGTCGGCGGGTGCACTCGGTTGCAAGAAGGGTTCGCGTTGCTGATGATGTGACTTTGAGCGGAGGGAATAGGCGCAAAGGCGCGCGGCATATATATATATAAGGCCCCCCAACCCCAACTCTCTCCTTCTGTTTCTTTCTTTTTATTTACACCTTTAATTCACTGGGGTAGAAATAAGAGTAACAAGCGTCCATAGTGATGATATGAAGAAGGAAACCCAAAAATATACGTATACTATAGTATAGGAGTTCAGATCAGGTGGCGATGTAGGCGTATATATAGTTTCTTTCCCTTTTTTCTTTCTCCTTTTCTTTTCGCGTCTTATAATTACAAGTTTACAACCTCGGCCTGTTGCCCTGATAACCACCTTTTGGGTTCGGTTATTATTTATGAATCCTGGTGGGGTTAGAGGAAAAGGTCCAGAAGTGTTGATAGATTGGATTTTATATGTATTAGCCCTTATGCATCATCTATCTCTCTCTCTCTCATGCTACAGATAAACAAGAGTAATGAAATCTAATAATGCAGCAAGGACAAGAGCTTAACGTCTAATGTACTTTAATTAAAATAGATTTAAGATATTATAGGACCCAGCCTCCTATTTTAATTCTTTTTAACTTCTTTCGAAATGAACAAATGAGAGAAGGATCAAGAGGTCAGCATTGAAAAATGATGAGATCAAGCAAATCTCAGAATCAGAGTGGCTATGCCATTGGCATTTTAACAATGAAGAAAAACCAAAGCCAAAACACAACTCTCTCTCTCTCTCTTTCTTTCTCTCTCACTTGGCCTAGGGTAGTACCGGATGATGATGGGACATGAGAAGTGGGGAAGCACATGCCTTTGATCTCTTTTTATTAATGGGGAGCCATCTTTTTTGGACCAAAATCACAACCTCTTTGACAAAGTTGCTATCAATACACCCCTCAGTTTTCATTTCCTGTGTTGTACACACAATTTTTTTTTAATTAAATAAATCCGCAATTCCCCAACAATGCACGCACGCTCTCAAGCCTCTTCATCTCGTCGCTATAACTAGAGCTGTAAATCGGGTCGGGTCACCCGTGATTCGGTAATATTTTGGACCGGCCTGGCCTGGCACGGTACAACGGCTAACGGGTCGTGCCAGGCCTAGCACAGAAGTCCATACCATGCTGGGCCGGGGGTTCGAGGCCCATGGGCCAGCACGGCACGTGTCGTGCTGCCTGTAGCCCACGTGCCGGCATGGCCCGCCAGGCTCGTAATGGACCGCGCTCAACCCGTTCAGGAATATAGCCGTTGGGCCCCCTCCCAACGGCTATATTCCCCCCACCCCCACCCCCCCCAACAACTATAAATAGCCATATTAGGGGGGTATTTTTTTGTTTTGCTTAATGGGGGTAAAAAAATGACATAAATGCCCCCCAACAACTATATAACAATTAGTTTACGGGCATTTTGAGTAAAGCTATAAGTAACTTTACAATGACCAAAATATCCCTCCCAACAACTAAATAACAGATAGTTTTTTGGATATTTTGGGCAATTGAATTATGTTCAATTCCTATAAATAGCCCTATCCTCCACCATTCTCATCACACCAATTCAACAACTCTCTTAATTCTCTCTCCCTCCCTCTCTCATACATTCTCAATTATCTGCAATCTGAGAAATTCTGATTAGCTGATTGCTTGATTCTACGTTCTCCAATTCTCAAGTCTCAACTTTATCGAAATTTCGACTTTCAACAAGAAGAATGCTTGCTCAACCAGCTCAAGTATCTCAATTCGGGAGGTTTGGATGTTGAAAGGCTTCAACTGCTGAAATCAAATTGGGATTTTGAACCGGAAATCCGGGTAAGTCAAATTAGATTAATTTTTATCTTTTTAGAATTAAAAAAAAATGGTCGGCCCTTCTCAAACCGATTCCCCAACATATTCACCATGGATGACATTCAATCACATCACGATAGTATTAGTGTTAGCATTAATGCCGATGCATTTGATGTTGATGGAAGTGGAACTTTCACCCCAGTAGTAGTGATACTAGGGGAAAAATGAGGGATTCTAAGCTAAGTAGACCGATTTGGAAAGTTTTCAAAGTAGAGGATATTAAGGAGAAGGGGAAAAGGGTCATTTGCCAAAAATGTAGGAAATACTTTAGTTATTGTAGCAAAGGTGGTACATGTCATTTGAGCAGACATCTGCTCACACATGACCGAGAGGAAGATGAAGGAAGAGAAACAACCCAAACACAGATTGGGAGGGGGACTAGTTTTGGTACTTTTAGATATTCACAAGAAAAATGAGATAAGAACTTGCTAAGTATATTGTATATGTAAAACAACCATTTATGTTAGTTGAAGATCCAAAGCTAAAAAAATGGTTGTGTAGTTCTGTAAACCCACAATATAAAAAAGTTTCTATGAATACTATAAGAACTGATGCTTTAAAATTTTTTTATTCATATAAACAAAATTTAATTTCTTTGTTAGCAAATCTTAATTCTAAAGTTGTAATTATTTTGGATGTTTGGACATCCAAATTTAATATTAGTTATATTTGTGTTACCGGTCATTTCATTGATGAAAATTGGCTTTTGAATAAATTTTTTTTAAGTTTTACTAGGCTTGAAGGGCCACATAGTGGCCCAGCTATTGCTGCAAGTATTTTAAATACTTTGCATGCTTATGGAATAGAAAACAAATGGCCCGGCCATTATCAAAACTAATTTTTTTCTATTAGTTTTGATAATGCTAGCAATAATGATTCTGCAATAAATATTTTAAAATCTCAATTAAAACCATGCTTAAATGGTAAATTATTTCATATTAGATGTGCATGTCACATCTTAAATTTATGTATTTAAGATGCCTTGAATATTATTTCAAAAATTAGAAATTGTATTATATATATAAAAAGTTCAAAAATTAGAAAAATTATCCGATTCTCTCCGCCATGGCACGTGATCTACTAACCCCTCTGGTGTCTACAGTTCCATCGGAGTCTTATTTTAGTGCAAGTACCAAGGTACTGGATGACATAAGAAGCTACATGAACGATGAGAGTATAGAGATGTGCATATGCTTCAAGGATTGGCTAGATGCAGAAGATAGATTACAAGACAAGGGAGGGCATGATACAACATCGGACATTTCACTCAAAGCAGATGATGAAAGTCAGAAATGATGATTCATGAATTTGACTACTTGTAGAATTTTTCATTTTTTTTCAAATTATTGTAAAATTTTTAAATTTTATTTAATTTATTCGATATATTTTTTTAATTTTTAACAATGTAATTTATATTTTCAATTTGTAATCATATTGTATTTTTTTTATATATTTTATTAATTTATTCCATTTTTATATTTCATTCATCCAAGTATGCAATGATCCAATCATCGTATTTATAATTCACTAATTTGTATCATTCAAATTTAGATGAAATAAAATTCCTAATTTTCTTCCAATTTGTTATTCCATCATTCTTATTTCAATTTGGTTAAGAATGTTTTTTCATTTATGTATTATATAACTTAGATTTCCCATTTCTTAGTTTTTTAAATAGTTTCATAGGAAAGTTAAATATTTTAGTTTTACAATTTTACTTAAAAAAGAAATCAAAATTTTCAAAAATAAATTAAAAAAAATAGTACAGCCCGATTTGACCTAGGCCCAAGACCTGCCCGGCACGGCCTACAGCTCGGCCCGACCCAGACCCGCGTGCCAGGCCAACCCCCAGAATTTTCACCGGGGAAGACGGCACGGCCCACTTTACACGTCTAGCTATAACTCAATGCCACCAACTCCCTTTACTAACACAAACAAACCCCTAGTGAGTAGTGGCTACTGAGATGAGAACACACAAACTAATCTGGACCCTTAATTCATCTGTTACATCAAATGGCTAAGTGCCACTGATTTAAACATAATCTGGGGCCCAATGTCGACTACTCTTTGAACCTTAATTACCAGATAGACATAAATTCATCGAGGCAGGGGCACAGCCAATCAAGAACATGCATGTAATTAACAAATACTTGGTGAAGTTGGAGTGAAATTCAACCGACCCATTTGAAGTTTTGAACCCACCACCACTCCGAACACCCCTTGACAAATTACAATGACGATATGGGTCCATCAATAGCTACAAGGAGTATCAAAGGGCCAGATGCTTGTCAGTATTCTTCGTCGTCGTCCTTAATAAGTAGCTACCTGGAGGTGGAGGGTACAAAGCCTACAAAACTGTAAAAGACGATTCATATTGACAAATAGATTATAGATGATGAAGAAGACGATAAGATACGAAACTGCTGCATACGATTTGGTACTATAAAGTACTTCCTTCACCCACTGGACTGAATCACGTGGTTTCTACTAATTGTATTGTATTATGTATCTCACTAACTGCTAACTGAGTAACTGTGTATGTGTATGTGTATGTATCACCCATGTTCAATGAATTGAATCATGAAGGAGATGCTCTATCTTCCAAGCAAGAGCCCATTTTGGTGAGGTGAGGTTTGAGGTTTGGCACTGGCAGAGGGCCAGAGGCTAATTCCCATCTCGCATCTCCCCACTTGGAGCCATGGAGGCCAGAGGAAGACTACTGAATGAGCTTGGAGTAGTTGGATAGCATGCAGCCAAGAAGCAGACGTTAACGTTGTCCATGTTTTTTGTAGAACAGGACAGTGAACAGACCCCACTGCACCATTTGCCTCAACATAGCATGTGATGATGTTGAGTGTTAATTTCCAATCAGGTTAAACCTAAACACTCAGTTTTTCTTGAAATAAGAAAAAAGTAAAGAAGACACGATTATGACCGCTAAGCAAACAACTCCATTAATTTCGTCTTCAGAGAATTGAAAATCCCGTCGGCACGACAGTGTTAGTAATAATGCTAATTAATATACGCAGAGACTCTTTATTAATTGAAGATAATCGGGGCGGGCATCAGTACCACATGATTAACCCAAGGCAAAAGTGCTGCTAACTTGCGCCCAGACCGATAGAGAAGAAAAATGGTCCAAAGTGCTTGATGACACGGTTGGAACTTGGAAGTTGATGTAACAGTTTTTGGTCACGTACCATTTTTTGTGATGTATAAAATTTTTTGGCTAAGTAACTCGTTGTTTGACCCGGTGGTGACGTGCCTTGGTGATGAGCTACTTGGTGG